GGGATCCAAAGGATCCGATGGATCCAAAGGATCCGATGGATCCAAAGGATCCGATGGATCCAAAGGATCCGATGGATCCAAAGGATCCGATGGATCCAAAGGATCCGATGGATCCAAAGGATCCGATGGATCCAAAGGATCCGATGGATAAAAGGATCCAATGGATCCGATGGATCCAAAGGATCCGATGGATCCAAAGGATCCGATGGATCCAAAGGATCCGATGGATAAAAGGATCCAATGGATCCAAAGGATCCGATGGATCCAAAGGATCCGATGGATCCAAAGGATAAAAGGATCCAATGGATCCGATGGATCCAAAGGATCCGATGGATCCAAAGGATCCGATGGATAAAAGGATCCGATGGATCCAAAGTTTGAACACATATTGGTACCAATGTTACTCATTCTATGAGTGAAATATTGTTCGTTTATACATTGTTCTAGTTTTTATTAGCTTTTATTGTTTTAACAGTCGAAATATATGTTGATTTTGTTGAATTATTTGTTAATTATTCGTTCATTTTATGCAATTTATAGTTTGTTGGTCATAACAAATTTGAGCATATAAAAAAGTTAAGATTGTACACCAAAACACTAGCTGTAATATTGTTTTGAGAGTTATACGGTATCATTCTTGCAGGGGATATCGATTAATCGTGAAAGAAATGCATTAAAGGCGAAAAATCGAAGATAGTTTCGTGTGACATATGCCAGTCTGGGCTATTTTGGTCTCAATGTTTCCTTCCTTCCCTCATTATAAGGAAGGCACAGGCGGGCGCGGGCAAATCGAGCCTGGGCCTCCTGTGGTCAAGTTTGCCAAAATGTATTCTGTTTCTCGTCAGTTTGTCTGTCCAAAATTGATGCGCGCGTGGCCTTGTTTCGATAAGTGCATACACTGATTTTTATGCTCAATGTTAAACTGTCACCAAGTTCTCGTACAATAAAATGAGAACTATTATTTAACAATTATTCGCCGAAGGCGAGGTGATTATCGGTGAATAAAAACCGAGACGAAGTCGAGGTTTTTATTCACGATAATCACTGAGCCTGAGGTGAATAATTGTTTTAGTATAATTTCATAGGTGATTATTTGGAAAAAAATTTTTAAATGCACATTTCTTCGTCATTTAATTGACAAAACAGCTTCGGCCGCCATTTTGAAAATCGCTTAGGTGATTATCGCGTAATAATCACCTCAACGGCAACCAATCAGCGTGGAGAATTTTCAATAATCACCTATGTAATTATACTAAAGCATAATATTAAATGTTCAGGTGTATAAAATAATAGAAACATATCAAATATGAAATATCACAAGATTATGCTTTCATATATACTCTTGCAAAATTCATGTCACATGCAATACTGTATGTTCCAGTACTAAATTGTATTTATAAACATATGACATATTACTTTCGCCTCAGAATTTCAGTAGATTTCTTAGACCTGGGAAAAAAATTCGTTGTGAGAATTAGCGGTTTTCATAAAAAAATTGAACGCGCACAGTCAAGATTCCCCGCTGACCAGAAACAGAATACTTTTTGCCCTTATGCATCGTTATTTATTCTGGACAAGTTCTGTTCAGTGTATTTAGAGATCAGTCTGTATAATATTTCCCTAGGTTAGCTACCAGGCCCCAAGTGATGATTGGTATAATAAAGGTGGCGAGGAGGTAAACGAAGATGAGAGCGCAGAGGATGACGGAAATCATTTCTTTTATCAAATGTGGTAAGCAAACAATGCGTACAGTAAATAATTCAATGTTGTAATTCAGAAAACTCTCAAGTTGTTGGGACGCTGCTGTGAAGTTGCTATATAATATATTGCTGCTGAAATTTCTGTTACACGTGTTCTGTGTAACATCGGACACTATGGGGTAGCCCACATTCAAGTACTATTTAAAAAACGAACAGGAGTGTTTTATTAGGTTTAAAGCCACGAGCGCGCTGCGCGAGTGGCTTTAGACCTAATAAAACACGACCTGTGAGTAATAAAACACGACCTGGCTTCAAAAACGTTTGCATAATAAGTCAAATCTTTATATAAAAATCTTTATATAAAAATCTTTATATAGTTTGCATAACAATGGTCTTTTGTTAAAGTGTTCTTTAGCTGGTATAAAGACGTATGCACACGACTAATTTCTTACTCAAGATTGGATAATTAATGAGAATTATTAATGCGTTTTTGAACAGTATACAAACAATCAATGTTTATGAGTGCAATGGTAAAAACATTTTAATAAGGTGAAGGATTGATGGCTGTTTCCTCGTGAAATGGAAAATTTCAGCGAATGAAAACATCTATTGCATGAATTAAAGCATTCGTTATTGTTTATCGCCAAAATAAATCAATGTTATCGATTTTTTATTGAAATGAATAGAAAACAAACACCGCATGTGGCATGTACAATATTCAAGATTAACAGAAATCCGACAAATATGTCCCAAAAAATATTTGCGTGAAGATTTAATGTAATTATCCCATTCATTTAACTCAACAGTGCCTTAAAAATAATATGTGATGTTTACATCGGCCAAGTGTCTACGCACAAATATTGCATTTTAATTTTATTTCCATTGGCCTCTTCATGAAGAACCATTTTGTTGAGCGTGTATAATGGTTGGGTTTTCATTAAATTCCATCCGTCAAAATTTTCATCGTGTCCTAATCCCAGCTCATGTAACCCAAATCTTCATAAAGAGGCCGATGGAAATAAAATTAATATGCATAATTTGTACGAAGCAAAATGGCAGGTGAAAATATCAGTAAAAATGTTTTACAATATGTTAAATATATAGAGGATATTAGACGGTTGCGAAGAGATATGGATTTTATATAGATGTTTTTTTGACACGAGAACAATTAAGTCGAGGCCAATATTCCCCGATAATCACCGAGCCTGAGGCGAATAATTGTTTTAGTATTTTTACACAAGTCTTTTGTGTTTTTGGGCCTGAATTTGTTTTAATTTCGCTTATTTCTTTATCAGTAACTTCCACAAAACAGCTAGCCGCCATTTTGAAAATTTCGGTTTTTTAGGTGAATATAACAGCTTAATACGTCAAATTTAACCAATCAACGTGTAGGATTTGTTATGTTCACTTGTGCAAAAATACTAAAAATCCATATCTTCTCGCAACCGTTACGTTTAATGTTCTGTTTATTATATGGACTTATTCAGAGTGACAAAAATACACACAAAGACGACATTTAAATAAGCACGCGAAAGACCAGTGTAAACGCGATATTTTTTAAAATTATAGTGCAAACATAAAACTAGTACAATTATCTCAAGATGTCGTTTAAATGTTTTCGTTTTATTTCCAACGTTAATTTCGTTTTAAATACGAACCAAAGACCCTTTGTATTTTCAAAACAACAACAATGAAAATGGCGGGAAATTTTCGAACTTCGTATGTCACTACGGTGAAATACGGAAAATACGCGCACCTGGTCCCGGATGTAGTGACGTATGAGTTCTACGAGTGTTTTAGTTTCCAGTAAAACACCATTGTCCATATAATATATGCCATTATTACATTTTAGCACAGAGACATCTCTATTAAGGGTGCAAAATGATATTTTGCAGTCTTTGGACAAGAAGCAATCGGTCATCCTCGTTCTTCTTGATTTGTCTGCTGCATTCGATACCATTGGGCACGATATTTTATTATCTAGATTGGCTGAACGATTCGGAATCAGTGGAAATGTTCTTGCTTGGTTTAAATCGTACTTGTCATCTCGTAGTCAGTTTGTCAATATCAATGGCACTTATTCTTCCACCCACAATCTCAAATATGGAGTTCCACAAGGTTCTGTCCTCGGCCCCATTCTCTATTTGCTTTATACTGCCCCTGTGGCTGATATCATTAGGAGGTATGATCTTGATTATATATATGCTGATGATACTCAGCTATATGTGTCTTTTGAGGCGGATAGTGACGTCGACTTGGTGAAGTGTCCTTCACTCCGCGATTCAATCAAAGTTGGAAATGACTTGATTCCTTTTTCGGGTTCGGCTACCAATCTTGGTGTGATTATGGATGAGACACTCTCCTATGATAATCATGTTAAGAAAGTTTGCAAGTCCTCATTCTTTCATTTGAGGAATATTTCTAGAATTCGCAAATATTTGACAAAAAAATCAGTGGAGGTCATAATCCATTCCTTCCCCCCCCCCCCCCCAGCCCCAATAATTTCTAAAAAGTGTGTAACAAAGCTATAACAATGTTTCAAGCACGAAAGCCTTGGTACTGTATGTTACAATTTAAACCATATTTTTGTTACAAGAATTGGTCAAATATTGTCAATCCAATCCCCTCTTGTGAAGTGTCAACCACTGACGTTCATTTTAAATATTCCATACTATAACTCATAAAACCTTGAGGTTACACTTCGTTGCATTGATTTCATGTTGGTCTTTTCATGTTATTGCCAGTATGATGAAGATGAGTACCCCGAATATTATCGCAAGTCTTCAGACTATATCAAAGGAAGCAACACTGATGTTCCTCAACCTTTCAGAATAGGTAAGACTTGCAACTGTACTTTATTATGTGCAAGGCGGTCCAGCTGCAAAATGCAGCATTTTAATTGATTTCAGTACAGATAAGATTGACTGCTCGCGAAGAAAAATTTAAACAATTCTTTTCTTTGTCAAAAATGCTGTAAATATAATGTACAATGGTAAGTTTTTTATGCAGCATAACTTACTATTCTACTCTAGTTTCTTGTAAATGTTGTTTACATGTTTTAAAATACTTTTGGAACACTGTCTTGAAATGCTGTAATGTCATACTTATTTGCCGCCATTGAACGGCTTTTTCGGCAAACTGAAATGAAACTGCACTTAAAAATCTGCTGTTAATGTTTTATCTTAGACTTAGTCAAAAAATATTTAGAATCCGGCAGATAACATTTTGTAGAACTTCATTTTCACAGCAACAAACAAATTTAAACAATCAAATTACACTTTTATTCCCCGAAAAATGCTTAACTTATTGACAAGACTTGTTCGGTCGGAACAGTAGGATTTTTGTCTCGTTCTATTTTGATTCGTTTATATATGGACCTTTTCTATACAGCGTGGTTGACTAATATCCTCCAGTTTGGTGCGCTCGCTCATACAGTCAATGACGCGCATACTGTCAATTAGATTATTTACACACAGATTTTTTACCATTTTTCGTTTTGCAGACAAAACATAAACAATGGAAAACGTCCTTTAGTAGTTGAAATAATTCAACAATTGTTAGATTAAAATCAGTGTCGTTTATAGCACTATTGCATCTATTACCTCGTTTCCATGGTCGCGTGCTATAGCCTGCATGGCAGGTGTTGCTTGGGTGGCAGGCGCACATGAAAAGGAGGCCATTATGACAATAATGCAGTAAGCCAATTCATAGTGGCTACTGCGCATCCAAATGACGCATTGTGCGTCGGTGGTATCAATTGCAGTTGAACAATAATAAGATGTAGCTGAGACTATATAGCACAGTTAGAAAATACATATGAATAATGTGTTCAGCTTTTCAATCATTTGAATATGCTCAAAACCAATTAGTTTCCGCACGAGTTGACTCACTTTAAATATAATCCCTAAGTGAAGCTTCCTTTATTTTGCTTGACATAGAAGACAAAATATGCTAGTACAAAAATTATTTAAAACCACTAATATATATTGTTCCAAAAAGTGAAACACAAATGACCGATTGAACAGCATACCTCTTTGACATGCACTGCATGTGACTGACAGACAGTATGTTCCATTATAAGGCGAAATACTATCTATCACGTGTAAAGCAAGCTACAGTCTGAAAGACGAAACTGCCGACATCAAACTCAAAGTTCGCAAGCTTTACAGGTTGGTTTACTCTTAAATGATCTATTTGTTTACTTGTAGATTGTTACTTACTTGATAGACTTTTGCTACAACCTTTTGAAATGCTCGCCTGTCTTTGAATTAGTCATTTGAAATGCTCCCTATCTTTGAAATGAAGTATTTCTGCCTTACTTGTATCAAATTGACTATAGTTTAGTTAAACAAAATTACACCTACATTCAAATGAAATGGAGAAAGTTTATATAGGTGAGGTGGGGGAGAGGGGGGGGGGATCGAAACAGTATATTTTCCTTAATATTCAATAATTCCAACCTTCACTATTCCTGAAATATTAATTTTTCATTCAAATACACATACTCTTTCCGGAATTATTCATATTCCTCCCTTAAATATTTATATTCAAAGTTGTTTAAAAACCCATTATTCATCCGCTCACTTTAGAACGAAGATATGTTGATCTATATAATTATTTAACAGACAAAGTCAAGATGTTTTCAATTGGAAACAATTATGGTTTCCTCAATTGTTGCAGTAGTTTACGTTAAAACGTCCGTTGAAATCGATAAATTACATGATAAAATATTGCACCTACACTCTTTGAATACTGTATTATCCTTATAATTATTAACTGATATCGTCTCATTTTGTCTAGACCTGAGAACACTCATAAAGGCGCGAAGTGTGGCTACCAAACAGATTATAATCTTCTTTACTGCAGCATTGAAGGTCAGTTTCTTGTACCAGTTTTACAACAATTTTGTAGCTTTGTACTTATATTAATCGAAAAATTATTTTCTATTGTTTAGAGACCGCCGTAGTTGGCATTAATATGTTGATTGGGAAATGTTTTATATCGTGTGAGGCTGATTTGGATCTCAGTGTACGTGAATATACCGCACAGGGACCTGACAGATTTTATTTCAGAGAGGTATATTATAAACAATATTTTCTTTGTTTGTCTTACTTTTAACAATGAAAGAACATCGCAAATGTGTTTCAGCAACATTCCCTGTTGCCTGCCTAGTGTTTTTCTTCTTTGTTCGATACTGTATTTTTTCGTAAACTGATAAAAAGGTTCTCTCGGAACTTTTCCCATTTTGGGCATTTATACACTGTACGTATCGCCGGTCGGAGCGGGCAACAATTTTTCACGTGTTGCCGGCGCGATTCATTGCATTTATCTAAATCGACGTGACCACCAGTTAGCCAATCATGTTTAGGTTAAGCACTAGCTATGCCAAGAATACTCTTTATTTTACAAAAAAAATTATTGCTCTCTTTCATTTTAAGTTTACGCAAGTTTTCTTCCAAATGATATATCAACTTGATTCACTTTATAATCTTTTTCAGGCTTACAATGCAAAAACTCAGGAAGTTGAAGATGTGCCAAGCGAATGGAGGAAGTTAACTTACAAGGGAAAGGTGAGTTTAGTTTGTTTAAGGCTTGTCCAAAGAGGATAAGATTCCATGAGAGATGACAGTCCATGCGACCTTAGTTACTGTTCTTAATGCTTTCCCAACACTATTATGTATCTATTTAAGTTAAAACATGGTCTGATCAGTGATCAAACCTTTATTTTCTTTAATCTTGGAATTTTTCCCACAGTAATGCGCGACTACCAGTTCTCGTCAACTCTCATCCTCGTTTGACAGGGGCTTTAGGTGAATATCGACATTTTGTTGGCATCTCACTCGATTCAATAATAGCTGAAGTGCTAATACTAGCTGACATTTTATTAGGCCTAATCACGAACAGCTGCGAAAAATGCAACTCTAGGTCCCTGCGATTCCAGTGTAGGACTCCAACCAACTGAGGTACATGCAGAGGCCAGTTGTCGAGCTCTAACAACAAGATCATGCATATTTATATATAGCGTACTGCCATGTTACGTTATGGTAAATATCAAGATTTTGTTGGCATCTTAACTCGACTCAATAATATTTGATGGGTGTTGTAGATGGAAATTATCGGGTGGAAATTTATGTACAGTACCTTTATTAGACCTAGTATCGTGAATGTCCGGTGATAAGATTACAAGGTTCTCCAGTTTAGTTTTAGTTTACAACTAGATCAGTGGCAAGACTATCCAGCTTACGTAGCTCATTTTCATTGTACGTCATCGGACTTTGGCTGGAAAACAAAGACTTGGGCTCGTAGGTAGACCAATTTGGACTCAAAACAACGAATTTTTCGTTCATAATATGAAACTAACTAGAAAATACATGCATGCAGAAACCCTCGCCTTGCTGACAAAACCGTTGTATTTTCCGAACATGAAGTATCTAAAGCGAAAGGTGTTGTACCTGTCCTTAGTGCGCAGCAAGTTAGGATATGCCAGCCAGGTGTGGGCACCTCAAACTGTCAGCGACATACTGTCAATAGAACGGGTTCAACGTCGCGCGACCAAATTCATCCTTTCCCTTCCTTACAGAACAGCCACAACATACAGGGAACGACTACTGGTTATCGGTATTCTCCCGGTCTGCTATTGGCACGAATTTCTAGACTTAGTTTTTAGTGCAGAGTTTCTTTGAAACTGTGCACTATTGTGATGACTGGGAAAATTCACATCAGTCAGTCAGTCAATCAGTCATAGAGTTAACTTTCCGGGGGGTGTATTATATGTATACGATTTATGTTTGTAGTGATTTATTGTGCTTTGAAGGTTATTTAGGCAATTTCAGTTGTTTTATTTACATATTTTTTGTTCTTTTGCCAAGTTCACAAAAATTTCGAGGAATCGTTGTCGTTATTGTAAATTTTTGTAAATTTTATAACATTCGCTTCTCACGTTGTGTGAAGGATCTTTCCCCCGGAAAACCCATTTTTTTCTTTAGCAACACAAATGCGCATGCGCTATCAAGCCGTATATAACGATGGCGTGATGATGCTAGGAAGGAGCGCTGGAGCGACACAGTGTTGTTTTCAAATTATAAACATTTTAGATGTGAATATTGAGTAAATCTTTGAGAATCTACGCAATATATAAATCGATGTTATGCATTACGGACATTCAATTAAAGATCGATATTATTTTGAGGGTATATTCATTGTGCAGAGCTAGGAAGCAGCGAGACAGTGTTGTTTTCAAATGTATATATAAACATTTCAGACGTATATTATATTGCGAAAATCTTTGAGATACAACGCAACGCAATATATAAATTGATGTTATACATTACGGGCATTCAAGTGTCGATATTAGTTTGACGGTATATATTCATTGTACAGAGATGGGAAGCAGCGAGACAGTGTTGTTTTCAAATGTATAATTATAAACATTTCAGACGTGTCAGTATTATATTGAGAAAATCTTTGAGATACTACGCAATATATAAATTGATGTTATGTACTTATGCATTACGATTTACGGGCATTCAAGTGCCGATATTATTTGGAGGGTATATTTATTGTACAGAGCTAGGAAGCAGCGAGACAGTGTTGTTTTCAAATGTATAAACATTTCAGACGTCTAAATTATATTGAGAAAATCTTTGAGATACTACGCAATATATAAAATCGATGTTTTGCATTACGGGCATTCAATTAAGTACCGATATTACTTAGTTTGACGGTATATTCATTGTACAGAGCTAGGCGAAGCAGCGAGACAAGTGTTGTTTCGAAATGTATAAACATTTCAGACGTGTATTATATTGAGATTTTCTTTGAGATACTACGCAATATGTAAATTGATGTTATGCACGTAATGCATTCAAGTGCCGATATTAGTTTGACGGTATATTCATTGTACAGAGCTAGGAAGCAGCGAGACAGTGTTGCTTTCAAATGTATAAACATTTCAAACATAAATATTGAGAAAATCTTGGTTTACGTGTCTAGCACAACGTCAACGGTGCAAACTCGTGTTCAGACTTCAGTGCAACGAGAACTCTACCAGATCTTACGAGAATCTATCTGTATCAAAGCTTGTCAAAACTGCTATAAACACTGCTATAACTGTGAAACCATTGAAATATTGATTACATGCGAAAAGCTGAAAATGAATCATGAACACAACGTGACCTTCAAATAACTCAAAGGTCAGTGAGCTTGTTATTGTGACACGTCACAACTAGGTTAGAATGCGGAAGCGGATGCGAAACGGAGCGGATCCACGGAACGGATATGGAGATAAAATGCGGAACGGAACGGACTTGGATAAATCCTCTTTTTTTACGTTTCCGTGTTTTAGATTTATGTTTTTTTTGTCATGGAACACAACGTCGTAGTGCTTATTAATTATTCATAACATATCTTGTAAAGCTATTTCAATTAAAGTTGTGACTGGGACAATAGTCAAATGTACAATATGGGCGCTAAAACGATGATGGCATTGGCAATAATCATAGATTTAAGTACTATTTAAAAACGCGTAGGAGTGTTTTATCACATATAAAACACGACGCGTAGCGGAGTGTTTTATATGTGATAAAACACGACTACAAGTGCTTTAAATAGCTTCAAAAACGACTCATCTTATACGAGTTCATTGGCGAAGTAATTTTTAAAATAAACTTTGTCTAAACCGAGAAAATCAAAGCTAAAGTTTATGTAAATTAACGTGATTTTTTATCACATATAAAACCACGACACGCTTATGATTTTTCTTTGTGTTTTGCTCCTGAATTATTAATGAGTTTTTGAAATAAGTTTAGCATATCAGTAGCCTTGTGGGGATACTTGGCGACAGCTCCAATAAATTGTGTCAGTTCCACGAAGCACGACGTTTCTGATGTGTTAGGCTTGTTTTAAACGTCGGGTTACTCGTGTGCCGAACGCATTAAAAACAATAGATAATGAGATGAAATGCCTATGATAATTGTTTATTTCGTAGTGTAACCCATCAGCTTTTCTAGGTTGTCGGCGATCCTATATAATCCTTGCAGTGTCTTTCAATTTCAAACTTTACAACATAACAGAAATTATGCCTTGTCACTATAATATTATATGGGGAAATAAATAATATTACATACCTCTCGTTATTCTTCAACCGTAAAGTATTATATTTAAACCAGATCTTAGCATTTTTACTGTTGTAACAGTTCCCCGCGCTATTACGACATGTGATTAAGGCTATAAACCACGCTTGAAAAGCTATTCAATTAATAAGCATGCCTTATAGCGTTTGTCTTTGAAACTCTGCACTATCCTTGGATCCCTAGTTCTTTACAAGAGTATTCTAAGCAACGATGTCAATGTGTCAATACGAACAACCACCCGGACGACTAGAAACGCTGACCCTGTCAATGGTATTCTTCTTAATGTATCTCGATGCAGGACAGTTAGCTACAAGAACAATTTCTATGTGAGAGCGCCTAGCGTATGGAACATTCTCCCTAGCAATATTCGTGACACTTCAAGATCATTAGCTTACTTTAAAATCTCTTTATTCAATTACTACTTAAACCTTTTAGAACAAATATACAACCCGGACAATCCTAGAACATTTAAGTCCGTGTGCGTCAAATGCCACTCAACTCGGTCTCTTGATAGTTTATTAGTGAGGACATGTTGTTGACATTTTAGCATAATTTGTTTTAATGTTATATATTGTAACTTATTGTGAGGGGCCCCATAATTGGAGATTATCTCTGTGGCTAGTCCCTGCCCGAATTGTATGTAAATTTTGTAAAGTATTAGTCTTATTTATGTCTGTTATGTTTGGCGAATCTTGTAAAATAAAATAAAATAAATAAATCTAAAGTAGTTGTTATGGTAACACGATAATTTTTTAAGAATATTCTTACAAATGAAAATCGCCTAAAAATATCACTTTTAATTACAAAATTATCAATTTCTCAACATATATATGTTAGGTATGTAATTATACGTAATACAAGCTTCAATTTAAGGTAAAATTCAACAACAAACAATTCACAAAACGTTTTAAAGTGTTCTTTATAAAACTAAACTGCCTTTAACTATTAAATGGCTTTATCGATAAACTTTGAGTTTGCAATAAAATGATTTCAAATTCTCGCTTGCAAATAACTTTGCTTTATTTTTTTATTTAAAAAATTCAATATAATAAAAAAGGGAATCAATATTAAAGATACACTGAAATTATATGCTGTCTTGTATGTCTTGTTTAGTTGTTTGATATACGGAAAAGCCGTCGGGTTTTAAAGCCATTATAAAATCAATATTTAAAACAAACTTACCTTCGTTAACGTCGGCTCCCTTCTTTTAGCTGATCCTTTGGCCCTTTCTTTCTTGAAATTTACAAAATCTTGCAGAAATATGAGCAAAATGAAGAATATTTGCAAGAAATTTGACAAATTTATCAATCATCAACTCATCAAATCAAGAAATGTTTGCTATTTCGCTGTCGTCATGCAGTCGTTATAATGCAAACTTTAAATTGGACCAATCAGTGTCCGTTATTCATGACAGTCCGCCATATTTTTGAGATCAGTGAGGATGACCACCCATCGTTGGTGACCGACGCCCGCGCTCATTGATGAACTTTAGACTTCGCTAATGCTTTCGTTTCCCCGGGTGTATATAGCCGGGGGGAATTAGTACCCTCGCACGGCGCTTCGCGCCGCCGGCTCGGGGATAAGTTTTTTGTATGTTTGCATGGTGATAAAATATAATAGTTTTGTTTGTGGAAACACCACGTAAATTGATGAAGATCCGGGCTTACGGATGGTAAGCTTTGCAGTAATAAATTTACGTGGTGTTTCCACAAACAAAACTATTAATATGAAACTAGTTTTTCATACATGTGGTCGCATATTCTATGATGCCGTAGAATGTTGGTTGACGTCTAGTAATTTCCACCCAGGGTAAAGGAAAAGGTAAAGGAAAGGGGAAAGGCAAGGCAAGAGAAAACGATGAAGAAACTGGCAAGGAAAATAATACATG